GCAGTGAGATACCACGTCACACCCACTAGGATGGCTGTTATAAAAAACAAAACAAAACAAAAAACCAGAACACTTTGGCAAGAATTTGGAGGAACTGGAACCCTTGTGTACTAGTGGAAGGTGGAACCCTGTGTACCAGTGGAAGGTAAAATGTTACAGTAACAGTGGAGAACAGTACAGAAGTTGCTCAAAAAGTTGTTTTGCTAGTCTTTCTTTCTCTTTAAAATAAAAAAGTTAAACATAAAATTGACAGCAGGGGGCTCAAATAGATATTTGTACACTAGTGCTCAGAGCAACATTGTTCACAACAGCTTTTGTACACCCAGGTGTTTACTGACAAAAAGCTGGTGAAACAAAATGTGGTGTGTACTCTACAGTGGAAAATTAGTCTTAGAAAGGAAAGAAATTCTGATACTTGCTTGTTATGGTTTGTGTCTGGGTGTCCCCCCCAAAGCCTCATGCAGTCATGGGGCTGGCTTTTAGAGTTCTGATTCATGGTTGTGAGTGCTACACTTCCCTGGGGCAGATAGTTTTGCATATGTAAGGGAGAAAAAGAGGCTGCTTTCCCCCATCCCTCCCTTTTGCTCGGCTGTTTACTTTGTTCTGCCCCATGAACGTTTACCCTCTACCATGTGCCACTCTGCCTTGGAGCCAGCCGAGTATGGACTGAAACCTCCACAAACTGTGAGCTAAATAAACCTTTCCTTCCTTAATTCTGGGTGTCAGGTATTTTGTGCCAGCAACGAGAGAAAAGTAACCAAGACAGCACTACAACTTGGATGAGCCTCAGTCCAGACACACAAGGACAAGTACTGTATTGCTCCACTTATGAGGGTCCTGGAGTAGTTAACTTCACAGAGACAGGAGGTAGAAGACTGGGTACTGGGGTTTACGGGGAGAGGAGGTTGAGGAGTGGCTGTCTAATGGCTGCAGAGTTTCGGTCTGGGAAGTTGAAAGTTTTCTGGCGATGTCTGGATGGTGGTGGTTGCACAACAATGTGAATGCACTTAGTGCTGCTGAACTGCACACTTCAATGGTGAAAATAAGCGTGAGGGTGTGGTATCCTGGTAGGGAGCTTAGCACTCTATAAACCCTGGGTTAAAGTTCCAGGACCAAATAAATAAGGCTAAAGTGGTACCACGTGTCTACTAAAACATATACAAATATATACTAAAAAAGTTAAACTGGTAAATTTGGGGGCTCAGAATGGAGCTCAGTGGTAGAGCACTCCTCTGGCAAACACAAGACCCTGGATTTTATTTTGTTGAAAAAAAAGGGGGGGAAAAGTAAATTTAATGGCATGAATATTTTACTACCATTTTAAAAACGTAGGTCTTTAAAGTGACTATGGAGCAGAATCCAGGAAGGAAAAACAGGCTGTTGTGAAAACACAGGGTGCTAAAATGAAGACCATAGCTTTCAGGCAGTACTAGGAATCGAACCCAGGGCCTTGTCCATGCCAGGCAGGTGCTGTCCCACTGACCTACCTCCACAGTCTGAAAACCATGGCTATTAAATTAGAGCACCAAAACCCTCCGCGGGCAGAGTTAACAGCAGGCTGAAAAGCAGAATTACTGCCTGAGGAGACACAGGCAGCTCAGAAAATCACTGGGTGCTCCGTGAGAAACAGGATCAAGATGACAAAACAGCTCTGAGCAGGCTCTGGCAGCAGGCTGGAGAGTGTGAACAAGAGATGACAGCTGAAACAAGCTATGGGGCCAAGTGAACAAGAGCCTTACGTTCCCTGCAAGAAGACAATCAACTGTGGAAGTTGCAAGAGAAACTTGAATTTTCCATCCAGCTTTGTCCCCCAATCACTCTGCTCAGCATTCTCTCTCAAGGGAGGGGGTGACCTTGCAGGACTCTCCTCTGGGCCTTGGGGATGTCTGAAGCATGCAGCAGATACGAAATGTCTTCCCCAGGGGATGCTGCAGTCATTACAGAGAGGAAGCCACACACTGACACTTCCCTTGCCATCTGAGGTCATCTTCACAGCAATCACGAAGGGCTTATTTTATTTTTTGCTATCCTGGGGATTGAACCTGGACCACACTACCACTGAACTACATCCCTAGCATCTTAATTTTTTTTTTTTTTTTTAGGCAAGGGTCTTGCTTTGTAGTCCAAGGTGTCTCAAACTTAGTTCCTCCTGCCTCAGCCTCCTGAGTGCTGGGATTACAGATGTGTGCCACTATGTCCACCATAAAGCATTTAGAAGAAATATTTCAGTTGGGCACGGTAGCATATGCCTGTAGTCTTAGCTACTCAGGAGGCTGAGATGGGAGGATTGAGAGAAGCCAGCCTGGACTACATAGCAACAGACTGTCTAATCAAAACTAAAGAAACAACCATAGTTGGAGAGCCCTGAAGTAAACTGCCTAAGATCAAACAGAGAGTAAATCCAGAGGTGGGACTGCCTCAGGCCAAGTCCAAAACCACCGGATTCACTCCTGTGAAAACCAGGGTGGGTGGGGTGGGCCGCTGGAGGAGGGTGGAGGGCTGGGCGGGGCAGGAATCAGAGAACCTGCCAGCATCCACACCACCAATGGCGTAGGCAAGAGCAGGTCACTGAGGGGAAAAGGCTCAGACTTCAGGGCTGCTGGGAGGAAAGCTTGGCCCTTTTCCTACTGTTACCACATCCTCCTCTGCCACCTTGAGTGGTAGCTTGGGTGCTGTGGCACGTGCCTGTAATCCCCACTATTTGGGAGGCTGAGGCAAGTGGATTCCCAGTTCAAGGCCAGCCTGCACAATTTAGTGAGACTCGTCTTTCAAAAATTTTTTTTTTGTGAGACAAGGTCTTATTTTGTAGTTCAGGCTGAACTTAAACTCCTGGCAATCCCCCTGCCTCAACCTCCCAAGTGCCAGGATTACAGCAGTCAGCCCAAAAATTTTTAAAAAGGTCTGGAGGTATAGCTCAGTGGCTTGCCTAGCATGTATAAGACCCGGGGCCCATTTCTAGTGACACACACACACACACACACACACACACACCACCACTACCACCAATAATAATGCTAAAAAATCAAGAAGATGATGCTGGCCAGGCCAACCACAATTCTTTGCCCTCAGCCTGCAGCTGGGTCCTTTGGATGTCAAACGCTAGTGACCTCAGGCTGACCACAGGCTCTGGCAAGCAGCACAAACTTCTGAGGTTCATAAAAATAGTAAAAGGTTATGTGACAATGATCTTTGTTCAGCAGACAAAGAGTGTTCAAAACATAGGCTGGGAAGCTTGGAGGGGTAACTGAAGTCTGTTTTGTGCTACAGAAGTTTGGAATGATTTTGAGGTTGTGTTTACAAGTTCTATTGTCCTACTGAATGGTAAACTTCCACCCTCTTGCAAACCCAAAATTCCTCAACTCCATATCCTGCCCCATGGAAGAGATATGCACGACCAAGCCTGTGCGCAACACACACACACACACACACACACACACACATGCATGCATACACACAGGTCTGCACACACCCACAGAGGAGCAAAAACTGTGGGCTAAGGCTCCTGAGAGACAGGAATTGGGGGATGAACCCTACCAGGGTCAAGACATCAGCAAAGCCCAGAAGAGGGTCAGGGCCAAAGGTCCTGGGCCAGGTTGGCTGTGGAGCCTCTGGCCTCGGAAAACGGACCAGCTTCCATTCGGCTAGGCTCCAGGTTTAGTGTTTAAATATCTGAAAAGTAGATCTAGTTATGTTATCTGAAAAAAAAAAATGCACGAGTGCAAATACAGCGCAATTCCTTTTAAAATATATGCAGAAAAGGAGAGCTGGCAAGGTACACACCAAAATATCAACAGCATTCATCTCTTGATGTTGCTAAAAGGGCTTTTATTTTCTTTATAGTTTTTGAAATTTCCTACATAAACATGTAGATAAAAGTTATAAAAATGTCCCTCAATCCCCACATCCATACTGGGGTCTCCCAAGGGGCAGCTCAAAGTGCGGATATGTGTGCTGGGGAGGATAAGCAGGTAGCCTTTGGAAGTTAACACTTTTATGGGTCGAGAATTTAGGGCCCATTCCTCTGTGCATGTGTGTGTGTGTGTGTGTGTGTGTGTGTGTGTGTGTGTGTGTGTGTGTGATGCTGGTGCTCAAACCCGGGCCTTGTGCACATGCTAGTCAAGTGCTCTACTCCTGAGCTACAACTCCAGTCCAGAGTCTTTTACTTTTTTTAAGTATGCAAGTGGTTCTGTCTAGGAAGCAAGGATGCTCACCTAGGCAAGTGGACACAGAGCTGCTTCGGGCAGGAGCCCAAGATAACCACGGGGCCATTCTGGACCCTCAGTAAGTCAGGCTCATTCAAGGCACTCACCTTCCAGCAGCCAAAGACAGCCAGGCCTTCCTACTGGGGAGCCTGGCCACTTATTTGAATGACAGGGTCAGGAAGCCAGCACTGATCAGGAAAGGCCCCATAGCACAGCGGCATGTGAAGGCAGCACCCCAGAAGTTCTGTCCCTATCCCCAGCCTCCTGGAGTACTCCTGGATGGGTACGTGGGCAGGCAGGGGCCATGGCATGTGGCAGGACACCAGCCAACTTCCCAGGCTGGTGAGAAAGCAGGTCTGAGGCTGGACAGGGTGTGGGCACCGGGGCAGAGCTCTGGAGATTCTCTGAGGTTCTTCTTGTTGGAAGGTGCAGGAAGCAACCCAGACAAGGGACCAGCTGGATTTCCAGGGCGCAGGAGAGCAGCCTGTCCCTATCCCTGGCTTCCCCACCTGGACACAGACTCAGATGGGGAGGGCAGGACCTTTAATTGTATTCACAGAGAGACTAGGGGGAGACTCCATGGTAGGCAGCGGGTTCCCAGAAAGTAGGCTTAGGGCTGGGGTGGCTGGGGGCCGAGAGGGCAGAAGGAAAGGGGTGGGGTGGGAGGGAGAAGCGTGCTGGGATATATTCTTGGCCCACCAACCATACGCCCCTCCCAGTCTCTTGTGGACACTCCCCTGGCCAGCCCAGTCCAGCTTGGTCATCTCAGGAGTGCCTCAGCTCCACCTCGGAGCCAAACTGGGGCTGGCGGAGATGGTGGTGGCGGATACTGAAGAGTCGCTGGGCGAGCCCCAAGGTGGCCACCAGGAGGGCCACACCCAGGAAGAGCAGCACCCACTGGCCCATGCGGGCCTGCTGTGGCTCCAGGTTCATGCCCAAGAAGTTGACACGGCCAGAGTCTGAGAAGCTTTCTGGGCGAGCTGGACGAGGAAGCAAGAAGACAGGGCAGTGGGCAGGGTGACGGGCGGGCCAGGGCTGTGGGTCTGGCTTCCCTGCTCTTTCTCTGAGGTCAGACCTGAGCCCACCTGGACCGGGGAGAGGGCTCAGGCCTGCCAAAGACTGGGGCGCTGGGCCTCGGGCTGGAGGTTGGGGCAGGTCGTGGTACCAGAGTTGGGTGTCCAGTTGTACTGCGGCCAGCCCAGCTGCTCCCCGTGCCGCCCGTTTTCGGTGATCAGCCAGTTCATCAGGGGCTTGAAGTAGTTCATCATGGCCAAGGCCGACATGTTGGGCTGACCTGTGATCAGCTTCATGGCTTCTGGCCAAGGTTTGCTGAAGCCTAGCTTCATGGTGTCCCTGGGGAAGGCACCAAAGAAAGGGAAACTGAACAGCCCAGCCCCTCTTTCCCCAGCCTGACATCCTCCTTCAGATCCCTCTCTCAGCCTAAACTTTCTGTTAGGAATGGGAAGGCCTCAGCCCAGGGACCCCCCGTTCTCCCCTGGGTTCCTCGCGGCTGAGGGGAGCAGAGCAGAGTGTGAACTTGGTCAGCGGCCCAGGAGACACTTACGCCAGGAGCTTCCCTGCCTCCTTGGACTGGTAGATGTCGCACTTGTGCAGCGGCTCCTCGTGGCCCGCAGCCTTGCAGAGCGCCTCGTGGAACTGGAACTGGATGATGAAGCTGACGAAGTACCTGCGGTGGAGGAAGGCGTGGCACGGAGTGAGGGGCCGAGGGGCCGCGCCCCTGGAAACCCAGTCACACGGGAACCAACGGGGCAGGACGAGGTCAGGAAGTCAGGTGAGCCTCCCTTGGCCTTTGGAGCTGCCCCAGCCCCTTCCCAGCCTTGGCTGTGGGGCTGCCTCCCACCCACAAGGCCACGTCTGCTTCTTGGGCAGGCCTGCCCTAAGAGGCTCCGGGGACCAGCCCCTGGCAGGAGGAAGCTCAGGGCAGAAGGCTTTTGAGGCAGTGAGGTCTCCATCCCTGGGGTGTATGTAAGTAGTGGCTAGGAGCTGCTGACGGGGCCACGTGGGTCTGCTGGGGCGGTCTAGGCAGGGAAGCCAGCCTGAATGAGCTTATCCAAAGCAGCAGGAATTCTCAGGTAGAAGTCCACTAGTCAAGGCCAGAGCAGCCTTGCCAAGTCTGGAGAGGCCAGCAGTGCAGGCCTCTGCCTTTCAATGCTGGGCACGAGCCATGTGCTGCCCTCTTCCCTAGCATCTCCTTGAAGGGCTTGGCCCAGGCCGCTGACCAGAAGGTGGACTGTGTTCCTAGGGTTCCTGGCCTCCTCTGCCCACCCTGCCTGGGAAACTGTCCATGCTAAGCCGTGCGGCTAACATCTCAAGGCTGTGGTGAGGAGAGTGAGTGCTGGCTTGAACCCCAGAGAGGAAATGGCTCCAGCCAGCAAGTAGAGGCCTGTCCCCGAGTGTTACCGCTGGGGCACTGGGCAGGTCAGACCTATCTCATGTGCCCCAGGGCTAGTCCCCTTGCTCCTCTGTCCCCTGAGCAGGTGAGGTATGCTCCCCTTCCTGGACTCTGAGGAACAGACTTCATTGAGCCCTAGTGCTTTGGCATTGTGCCAGGTACCAGGTTGGAACAGTGGGTACAGGGCACAGTCCCTGTGCTCGCCGGGCTTCCAGGGACCACAGCAGGCAAGGAGTAGCAGTGGCCACAGCCCTCTTGAGAGGCCCTCTGTGTTCTCAGCACCTTGATTCCCTGGTGGCCTGGGCTACCTGTGGCCAGGGACACCCGGAATTCTGCTCTGAAGTCTGCCAGCCCCCAACTTCCCAGGAGGTTCTCTGCGTAGCACACCCATCCTTCCTCACCCCCAGCAAGTGCTCGCCTGTAGCACACAGACGGGAAAGCGCTGCACCAGACACCCTCATACCTTGGCCACATGACTCACAGGTCAGCGAGCTGATGCACTGCACTTAGGAGAGTATTTAACAATGCTGGGCCTTGGCCGCTAGAGCCCGGGCATGCTACGTAGTGGGCAGTGAGCCTTCGTGACCATCCTGTGAGGTGGGAGCAAGGCGAGGAGCTGGGTGCTCACAGACTGGAAACCGGCTCAAGGAAACAAAGTCATTTTGGCCTTAAACCTTTAACTGCTACACACCCTTAACAATGCTGCTCCCAACTGCACTGGTCTTTAGCCCTTAGTTTTAGGGTACAGAAGGGTCTTCCAGGTGCAACTCCAAGCGTCCCGCAGGTGATATGTTCAACCACAATCTTGTTTCAAAAACAGAGCCAAAACCAGACAGTGCTCAGGTCAACATCTAGTTGTGCGTCCTGGTTAATGTGAACAACCCGCCTAAGGTCTGGCAACCACTAGCAAATTATTCGGTGAAGTTTCTGCTTCCAACAGTCTGGATGGCAGAGGCTCTCCTCTCGAGAGACTGTTTAAAGAAGCAGTTGAGAGGACCCGGGTGTCAGGTGGCGTGTGCCAGCCCCACCAGTCTGCTGAGGTAGCGCCAGGATAGGTGCATAGGGACAGCAGTTAAACATGAAGCCATGGGCCCTGCTCCTCCCTATGGTGCCCCTCCTCCCCACCCCGCCATTACCTGATGTAAGGTACACTTGAAGGAACGTGGAACTTGGCCCCTGGGTCAAAGTCACCTTGGGACCTGGGCACTGGGGGGCAGAGACCCTGGTACTTCAGCCTGTCAAGAGGGAAGGTACGTTGGAGAGTGTTCGGGGAGAACCAAACCAGGGGGAAGGTTGGCATATTTTACTTAAAGGACGGTCCCTGCATCTGGGACTACACTGGGTCCTGTACTCCTGCATGTGGTGCCTCTGTGCATAACCAGCCTGTGACCCGTCTCACACACACACACACACACACACACACACACACTCCCAATGATGGCGAAGCTTTTAGAGCTTTCAATGATACAATCAGCCCACCGTGGCACATGTGCCATAGGTTTGCCACCACTGCCCCAGCCCATTCGCAGACACAGCCGTGCACACAGACACCCACAGGGACCCCTCCGGCCCTCGCCCCATTAGAATATTCTAGAACCTGAGGCTCCACCACTCCTGGTTATAGTTTTCCTTGGTGATGCCTCCATCAAATACCCTCCAGCGCCACTGGTCAAGGAGGTAGCTGAAGGGGATAAAGGCTATCTTGTCGAGCGCCATCTTCATCAGAAAGTTGATGTCGTGCTCTGTCAAGAGAAGGGGGCATGGACTCGGGCCTGTGGCTTCCTCTTCCAGGACTTTGCAGCTCAGCCCTGGTGGGTGAATGGTGGGCGGAGAGAGCTGGGCACTATACCTCTCTGGTCCTGGACCTGCCCCTTGAGATGGTCTGTGTGCTCCATGCTCCCAGGTTCACTCTGCTGGGTCCCCTTCCTCCCCATCCCTGTCCCAGGCTCTGACCTCGGGCCACCGTGTGCCTCTCCCCGACCTCCCAAGCTTGCTGCCCCTGCTTGACCTTCAGCCCGCCAGGACCTCATTCCCCTCACCGTAGCTGCTGCCCTCACTACTCAGCAGGTTGAGGCTGTGGAGATGCTTGGGGGTAGACACCGAGAGGGCCAGCACGTCCCCGATGGCCTCATGAAAGCCAGGGTTGGCACCCTCCCGAAAGGCCACGGGCAAATCCTTGTACTGCATGAAATACTGGATGTGGCCCATTTCGTGGTGGACCACCACCAGGTCCTCCATGTTCACGGTGGTACACTGCTTGATCCTGGGAATACAGGGGTGGGGGGAGAGAGAGAGGGGGAGAGAGAGGGAGAGAGAGTTAGAAGAATCTTCCAAACAAAAGGGGCTGCGATGCTTCATACAGAGCAGGCCCCACTGCTGCATTGGGGAACACAGTGTGATGGGAAGGAAGGTGGTAAAGAGAAAGCAAGCGAGCCTAAGGGAGAGGGAATTTGGGGGGCTGGAGCCCTAAAGTGAGATCACTCTAGGCCCTCCTTGCCCCTGGCTTTCCTGAATAACTCCAGCCACACTCAAGTTTTCTGACCGTACAGTCTTGCCCTAGAGGCACTGAGATACTCTAGACACTTTCTAGAACGTGTGCCTTTGGTTGCCCGTGTTTATCTTCCAAGACTAGGGCTTCTCAAAGGAGACAACAGCGTCTGTTCAGCTCATGTGACCCAACACCAAAGACTTCTTACGGCCAGGACTGGATGACGGCTGCAGAACTGTCCAAGCCAGAAGGTCCCAGCTCCCCCCGCTGATTCTCCCTTGTTCTTATCCTTCCTGTCTCTCTCTTTCCCTGCTTTTCTCCTCTCTTCTATCTGCCTCTCCCCAAGGGCTAGGGCCTCACACACTCGAAGCAGACACTCCACTGAGCTGCAGCCCCCTCCCCTCCCTCGTTCTCTTTTGCAAGCCAGTTCCAGTTGCAGGATCTAACCAGAGCCTTCCACTTCAGGTTCATCGCATTTTTCTGCCGTTCTCACTAGGGGAGGCGGCAGGGCCCAGCATCCTGGCTACAAGGAGATACGTGTCTATCTAGTTTCTCCTGTGACTCCATAAAAGGGAGGATATCCCCAGAAGATCCCCACCTCCTTGATCCTGTCTGCCTCAGCCTTACAGCTGTGGACCTTGTTTTGTTTTTTTGTTTTTGTTTTTTTGGTTTTTTTCTCCGGTACCGGGAACCAAACTCACGACCTTGCGCTTGCCAGGCAGGCGCTTTGCCGCTGAGCTAAATCCCCAGCCCGTGTGGACCTTGTGCTTTGGAAGGGCCCAAGGCCAGGCAGCCCAGCAAACCTGTCTGGTTTGATCCCAGGTTCTTGGGGCTGTTCTTCTCTTAGTGGACACTTTATTAGCTGTAGCAGATTATTTTGCCACTTCTCCCAAGAAGGAGGGTCTTCTTCCCCCTTCTCTTGAATCTGGATCACCCTTAGGACTTGATCTAGCCAGTAACGTACAGCATGCCCGGGAACTCTGCCAGTTTTGGACTTATCTGTTAAGTCCTGACTGCTTCTGCTTTTGCTCTGAGGATGCCAGCCGAGAGGCTAAATCTGTCAGTGTGAGACTGCCACACGTGATGGAGCTGTTGTCCCAGCCACCCCAGCCACGCGCATGATGTGAGCAGAGAAGGCATCTTGAACACTCCACGCCTAGCCATGTTGCATGGGGAAATATCAACAAACTCAGGGCCCTAGGATGAGCCACCCTAGGGATGTAGCTCAGCAGTACAGCACTTTGTCTAGCACGTATGCAGCCCTGGGTTTGATCCCTAACATACAAGTGTGCATGTGCACACACAAACACACACACACACAAATTACCCCAACTGAAGTCCCTGTCATGGTGGAGTAGGGAACAAGCCATTTCCACTGAGCATTGCCTGACCTGCTAGACCATAAAAATCTTGAGCATGATTGATCAGTTCGTTTACATCACTAAGTTCTGTGGGTGATTTGTGATGTAGCAGTGGCTAAAAAACCCACACAGAGGAAGGCAGATTCTGATCTGTCAGTGGTGAGAATGAGTCTGTGCGGAGTCCCTGTACCCCAGACTACACCTAAGCAGGGCATCAGCTACCCGCAGGGGCCCCTCTGAGTGAAGGAGGCTGGCAGTTCACACCCAGCATGGGGACCTGCTCAGGCCCAGCTAACCTGCTCAGGCCCAGCTAACCCAGCATGGGGACCTGCTCAGGCCCAGCTAACCAGCACTTGAGCAGACCCTCATTTTTCCAGAAACCCAGTATCTGAGCTGGAGTCTAGCGTAGTGCTCCTGACCTTTGGTCCCTGTATGGTTTGTGTCCAGATGTCCCCCCAAAGCCTCGTGCAGTCACGGGGCGGGTTTCTAGAGTTTCTGGTTGATCCACGGTCCAATGCTGGGATTATGGGTGTGAGTGCTACACCCGCCCTCGGGCAGGTAGTTTGCATATAATGTAAGGGAGGGAAAGGGGCTTGCTCTTCCCTTTTGCTTTGTTGCTTTTGCCATCTCCCGTGGCCATGAACTGTTGCCCTCTGCCATGCACCACTCTGCCTTGGAGCCAGCTGAGTATGGACTGAAACCTCCACAAACTGTGAGCTAAATAAACCCCTCCTTCCTTAATTCTGGGCATCAGGTATTTTGTCTCAGCAACGAGAGAAAAGTAACCAAGTCAGTCCCAAACTGCGCCCCTGACCCTGTCCTCCTTGCTCACTCCAGCAGAGTAAATAACTGTGGAGCTTTTGGCTTGGCTCATCTCTTTGCCCCCCGGCCCAAGATAAGACACCCTTGCTCCAGCTGGACAGACCTGAAGTCCTTGCCATTGTAGAAGTCCCAGGCTGAGGCATGGCACACCACCTCCCGCCCGTCTGTGGGCTTTTCCAGCATTGACCTGTTCCAGAACTCAGGGGGTACGGGCAGCAACCCCAGGGAAACGAAGAAGTCATCAGCCTCTTTGAACATCCTTCTGGGTGTCCAGCCCTGTAAGCAAAAGGAGTTTTGCCTAAACCGGGGGCTATAAGGGCAGAGTGCGCTGTGGGGGGCAGCTGAGGGAGAGCCGAATCCGTGGGTCTCTCCTCCTTGGCAGGGACCTCCCCTCCCCCTGTACCCCAGGAAAGCCCCTGGAGGAGGAGAACCCTAGCCCACAGACCTGCTTTATCATGGCCTCCGTGGCATCCATCGTGGGCGCTGACGGGAAGGGCACCACAAGGTCATAGATGTTGGACCAGGTCTGTGCCCACATGTTCCCTGGAGGCAGGTAGGGAAGAGATGGCAGAGAGAGGAAACAGATCAGTGGGATCTGTGCCATCCTGCTGGAAGAGGGATCCAGATCCCAGTCCTGCCAATCATAGCAGCATTGCCTGGACATCCACTGTCTGTAGACTGTGCTGAGTGTTTTGTGGTTTTTTTTTGTTTGTTTTTTTCCAGTACCGGGAATCGAACTCACGACCTTGTGCTTGCCAGGCAGGCGCTGTGCCGCTGAGCTAAATCCCCAGCCCTATGCTGAGTGTTTGACATATACTGTCTTCAGAATGCACGTCCAGCCCAGAGTCTTAACATCAGTGATAGGTGAAGACCTGGGTGATCGTCAGGGAATCCTGGTGGTCCGCACTGTCCTGAGCACTGAAGGAATCCCACAAATGAGAACACTACAGGTCCCTGGAATATCTCTGCCAGTGGCACTCACTTCGTGAGTGTTAACTTGTACTGCCTGCCTGTACCCAGGTCCTGGGATGATCCACTGTACACCAGCGGAAACTGACCTGCCCAGAGGCCCACAGCTGGATTTAGAGGCTGGTAAGCCATGTCTTGACTAGCCTCCCTGCTGTGTCTCCTCCGCATCGCTGAAGTTTGGTTCACGCGGGTCACCTGTCATAACTTTGACAAGAACCAACTACAGCATCTTTAGGAGAGGTAAATGTCTCTGAGCTTAGGTTAAGAAAAGAGACCAATTTATCAGGACTGGAGAAAAGGAAACTATTCAGAACAAGTGGGAGGTTCAGAAATAGGCAAGGAATCAGGTCTCTTTCACGGTTGAGGAGAGAAGATTGAGCTGAAATCAGGTGGGATCTGAAGTGCCGACCAGCAGGACAGCGAGAGGAAGTGTGAGTCGAGCACAGGTGCCTCGGGCTCCTCCCTGGCTGACTGCTGTGGGGCTGGGTCCTGAGCCCTCGCTCCGCCCCAGTTCCCAGGCCACCGCGGGGCACACCGGTCCCCGCCTGGGGTCTGTGTTTCTCAGTCACTGAGCTGATACCCACTCACACGTTCTTGGTCTCACCAGAGAGGGACCCAGGAGGGCTGGTCTCTTGAGCTGTAGGGACTCGGGCTGAGCGGGAACTAGGCCCACACCTAGACCACCTTCTGGGGTCTCCCTGATGGCATTTTTATGTGTCTGTGATATTGGGGATTGAATCCAGAGGTTCACACAAGTGCTCACTGAGCTATATCCCTGCCCCCCAACTTTTTGGAGATTTTCTTTTGAGACAAGCTCTTGCTAAGTTGCCCAGGCTGGCCCCAAACTTGTGATCCTCCCTTCTCAGCCTCCCGAGTAGCTAGGATTACGTGTGTGTGCCATGGTGCCCAGCTTCCCCTATGATTTCTAAGTGGTCTGTGAGCCTGTCTGGCCTGTCTGCGCATAATAACATAGCCCCTAGGAAAGTGCTCTGAACAGTCTGACAGGAACAGAAAACTGGGCACCTCTGCCCCTCTCCAGCCCCTACCATCCCTCATCATCTTCATGGCCTCCTCTATGCATTCAGAGCATTGAGTCTGCAACATTTGAAAACTGAGGTTCAAGCCAGACATGGTGGCACACACCATCCCAGCACTCAGGAGGCTGAGGCAGGAGGATGGCCGAGAGGTCAAGGCCAGCCTGGGCGATATAGCGAGTTCAATGGCAGACTGAACTACATAGTGAGATCCTGTCTCAAAAAAAAAGAAAAAAGAAAACTGAAAGTCCAAAAGTTGAAGTGGATCTACAGTCTCGAGACTGTTTTCAGGGCTGGGTGTGGTGCCACACGCCTGTAATGCCAGCACTCAGGAGGCTGAGGCAAGAGGATCGCTGTGAGTTTGAGGCCAGCCTGGGCTACACAGTGAGTTCAAGGCCGGCCTGAACTGCATAGTGAGACCCTGTCTGAAGAAGACAAAAAAAAGAAAAGAAAAAAAGATTTTTCTTTATTCTAGTTCCCTTGGTCCAGACACTGTCCTCTCCTGAGCTTTTAATCCCTCAACCTCTTGTCTTTCAAGGCTCTGCTCACGAGCAGCCTCCCCAGCCCGCATTCTCAGCCCTTCGTCTTGCCCAGATCCAGCTGCCGTGAAGCATGATGGGCAACGTGGTCTTCCCCTAACAGGATCCTGAAGTTCTACCCCACGAGCTACAGTGACTGTACAATGCGGCTCTGCAGACAACGTGACACCAAAAGGGGGAGGGTGCAGCTCAGTGGTAGAGCATTTGCCTGACACACATAGAGCACTGGGTTCAATTCCCGCGCGCACACACACACACACACACACACACACACACACGCGGAAACAAATGCAAGCAGGGGTTTCCCCACAGCCCTCCATCCTGGTCCCGTTCCCTCCAGGACTCTCCTGGCCTGCGCCCTGCCCTCTAGCCAGCGCCATCCTGACCTTCGCCCTGCTGCCCGTGTTCCCCTCCTCAGGCCCAGACAGCACCCTCACCCAGCAGATGGGCAGGAATGGGACCCTCCAGGTTGATGTGCTCAGGCCCGTAGTGGCGGTGCAGGGCACGGCGCACGTAGGCATGCAGGTTCAGGTAGAGCGGCTGCAGCTCCTGGAAAAGCTGCTCCAGGTCTTGCTCCAGGGATGGCGTCTCGTACATGGACCTCCAGGAATCCCCTGCGTCAACGTAGCCTGCATGGGAGACACAGCCGGGCTCTGCCAACAACTGACCATTCCCGCAATGCCTATGAGTGTCCTAAACCTGTCGCCAGGCTTAGGGTCTCAGAGGACCTCTCTGAGGAGCCCAAGGCACGCTGGGAGCAGAGGGCCGGTGACAGCAGTAGGCGGGACTCACCATTGAGCCGGGCAGCCTTGTTGGTGAGTTCCACATACTTTGGGAAGAAAGGGAGGACAGCCCTTCCCACCTTGTCCCGCCAGCTCTTCCACACCCAGAGCAGTTCTTCGTATTTCCGGGATGTGGCCATCACATTCGTCAGATCTGAGAGGGAAGCAGTTGAATGGGTTGAGCCCCAGCCCTTGGCTCACCTCCTCCCATCTATTTATATGGGAACTTGGCCACTGAATTTCAGAGCTGGGATAAAAGTGGTGAGATCACATGAAAGCAAGTGTGCAGCCGGGGGTGGCGGCACACGCCTGTAATCCCAGCACTCGAGAGGCTGAGGCAGGAGGATCACTGCGAGTTCGAGACCAGCCTGGGCTACAAAGTGAGCTCAAGGCCAGCCTGAACTGCACAGAGAGACCCTGTCTCAAAAAGATAAAAAGAAAAAAAAGAAAAAAAAGAAAGAAAGCAAGTGTGCAGGAGGCAAGCCTGGTGGGAGGAGAGCCAGGGGTGCAGCGTCCACCAGGAGCTCAGAGGGCACCTCCAGGGGTCATATGCCGCACTGCACCATCGCAGACTCTTGCTGGGTTTCAGTGACCCTTCGAGGGATCTGCTTGTCTCCCCTATTTGAGCAGTTTAGTGACAGGCCAGGGTTCCCCCCATCAGGAAGTGGCTGAGCTGAGGCACAATCCAGACTCCAGAACCACTGCTCCCCTCCCATCCCTCTTCCTGGGAGAAACGGCTCAGGGGTCCAAAGACCCGAGTTCTAGTTCCAGCTGTCCTACTAGTCTCCAAATCAGCTCTCTCCCACTTCACTAGACTTGCTGTCTCTCCCCTCATCCATAAAAAAGGGGACAATGTCAGTCTTCCCAGGAGAATAGAAGCTCACAAGGAGCACGGGTCCTTGTGGAGAGATTTGTGGCCTCATCTCTGTGTCCCCAATAGGGCCCAGGGCATCCTTCACATATTGTTACTGGACTGGACTTAATAAAAGAATAGCTGCAAAGACTGGGAGAGCGAAGAACTGTCTGAGTGTCACCAGCGAGCTGGAAACCCTGGGCTTATGTCCTGTTGATGCTGCTAAGTGTATGGACTCCCTAACTATGACAAGGAGCTGATACCCACTTCGTGGGCTGGGGTGAGGGTTATGTAAAGCCATGGGGGGTGGTCAGTCTTGAAGATCCACAGAAAGACAGCTTCCCTTCCTGCTGTGGCCCTGGTCTGTGACAGAGGAAGAGGGGGCACTCGCTGTTCCCCAAGCCCTTGCTGTTGGACTTAAGCTTCTCCCCATATTCTAGAACATACTACATGATACCTATCTACTTTTCACAGAGAAAGTACATTGAATTAACTTTGTTTTAGAAATGTGTATTTTGAGAATTTCACATCTGGTCTCTGCTAATGTGATTCTTTGGTCTTCATGGGCTTATTTTTGCTGAGTCAAGGACCTGACGCTCCAGCCCTGCATCAGGGGGCTGCCTTGTAGAGGGGGTATCGAATGCCACACTCCTTTTAATACTCTTCCCCATAAGCACCCACCCACCCAGCCGTGGAAGCACACACAGACCCCTCCCCTAACTGTGTGCGTGCCCATATCCACCCCCTGCAGGCTAATCCCCGCCCTGGAAAACTTTTTCTCTCCTGTTTATTTTCCATTTCCCCTGTTATTTGTCATTGTTCTAACATGAAAGCCGGGCTGGGGGCCAGGAAGAAACCATTCTGCATGGAGATCCCTTATGAAGAATGTTTATGCCTGTAACTCCCCAGGCCGGGAAAGGGTGAATCAGGAGGGACAGAGAGGGTATGCGCGTGAGTCCCTGGGGGTTGCGGGTGAGCTCTTTGCAAGAAGATGAGCTAGGAAGGACCAGTAGGTAGGAGAGAGGGAGGGTGGCAGAGCTGGTCCGTGCCTGACCAGCAGGAAGTGGCAATGAAAGAAGGGGTGATATGGGAAGGGCCAGGCCTGGAATCAGAGGCCAAGTTCAAGGCTGATGCTTCTCGGGGTGGTTTGACTGTGTGACTCACGCTGTCGGCTCAGGGTCCTTATTGCCATGTGCTGGGGGGAGGGGCTGCTGTCAGAGAAGCGGGGAGGACGCGGGAAGGATCAGGACGGAAGAAGACAGATGCTGAAGTTTCCGGCTCTCCCTGTGGGGGAGTCCAAGCCCTGAAATGCAACTCTGAGATCCTGCTGCTTCAGGGGGAAGTACAGAGCCAACAGGAGAGCAGGAGAGTCCTAAAGCCAGTCATCTCAAGCGGGCAGTGAGTCGGGGCACAGGCTGAGGAGATGCTGGTTCTGGGTGAGGGCAGAGAAGCCCCGCTGGCGGGAAGCTGGAAGTGAATGAGGGGAACCCACTTCCGCTTTGCTGGCGGCACCCCCGTGCCGAGCCAGCCTCTGCTTATCTCTCATCCGCCTAGGGATGCTCTCACCAGGCTCCAACTGCAGACAAGTGCCATTGGCTTGGCAGACGTTGGCCACGCTGTAAATAGTTTCCATTTCCAGCAGAATCTTGTTATACTGCGGGGGAAAAGAGGGGCAGTGAGGGGCGCTCTTGAGCTTTAGGCCAGAACCATGGTTGGGGTGCTGGGAAGGGTGTTCCCCAAAGGGGCTGCCTTCCCTGGAATTTCTGAGGCACCGGCGGACATGACCAACGTCACAATTTGACAAGTCAAAGAAGAGAAGAGGAAGCCAGACCCTTGAGCAGGGCCCACTCTCCCAGCAGTCTCCACTTCTGCTCCCCCAGACCAAATACCTCTTCTAGCTCCTGGATAGGGAGTGCTGCCCGATCCAGGTCTTGGACTTTCTTTATGATCCTTTTGATACTGGTGTTCTGGAAGTTGCTCACGTCAAACTGCTTGGCCCAGGTGCCATACTTCACGGTATGGTTGGCCACCTGCATGTTCTTCTGCAGCTGAGGGCACAAGGGATGGTGTCATGGGGTCCTGCAGCTGTGGGACAAACTCTGCAAGAGGGCGAGAGGACTGGACTGATGGTAAGGGGGCAGCCGCCCATGAAGACCCTCTTCAGCCTGGGCTGTCCTACTGTGTCCCAGATTCAGTATGTGCTCCTTGACTGACTCTCACAGGGGAACAGGACCGTGTGACTCGCAGAGACAGAGAAAAGGAGCCTTCATGTGTCTTAGAGGCCGTTAGGATGGAGGCACCTTGCCAGTAGCTGTGTGGTCTCCCTGAGCCTTGAGATCCCATCGATGAAACGGGAAGAAGGCCAACAATTTTACAAAGATTGAGCCCTTGAGGCGGTGGCAAACAGGAGCTTTCAATCTTTCAAACAGTGAACTTGACATCGCTCTGCTTACGCACAACCAATTATACTCTCTGTGACTACATGGGCTGCTAGTGAAAAACAATTTGTCTGGGCAAATACGGGCTTGCCAAACCTGAACTTGAGGATTGTGTGAGATATTCCATTTAGGCAGCTCACAGATTCTGGCAGCCCTGAGCTGTGCACGTGTGAGTGTGACCTGTGTGCCTGTGTGTCCCCGCGTATCTGTGTCTGTGTGCGTGTGCCAGATGGGACAGGCGGCCGTGGCTCTTACCAGGATCTTGCTGCCCTCGGTGGTGATGTTGACGCTGTAATTCCAGTTGGCCTCGGAGTATTCGTTCCACACCACCTGGGCCGTCTGGTCGTATTCCTCCACGAACTTGTTAGCCTCCGCCTCATCAGTTACCAGGTCTGTGGGGCAGAGCAGAGGGAAACAAGAGGCCACCCCTTCCCCTCCCCATGGTGCAGTTCTCCTGGAGCCCCGCCTGCAGCGCCTGCCGCCCCGCCCCCGCCAGGCCCTGCCCTCTCCCTGGGGTCCCACTTGGGCTCTGGGTTTTCTGGTCCTTTGCTGTCTGTTTGGGTGTTTTCTGGCTGGTTGTTTCTTGGTGAGTTGTCTTGTTTCTGGTTGACACTTGGCTGGTGATCCCTTGGTTGACTGTCACCTGCTGGGTGGTTGCCTGGCTGGGGACCAGGAGGAGGTACCCACAGCATAGCAACGGGAAGAGGAGGCTAGGCAGTCCTAGCGTAGCCCAAGGTTGGCCCATGGCCGCAGAAGAGCAGAGCCCTGCAGCTGCCACCCCTAGCCAATAAGAGTGCAGCCAGCGGTGTGACGTCACAGAGCAGTGTTCCAAGCCAGTCTCCCCCAGGGCCCTCAAGCCTGGGAACACCCCCTTTAGGATGTGGCGGGGGGATCCAATCCGTTCCACTGCACAGCCTTTCTGATGAGCTTGCAGGGCTACCCAGCCCTCCAGAGCAGGGGTCAGGGCTCAGATGGGAAGAGTCAACCGGGACCCTGGCCTTAGTGCCAGCCCACCCTCACTCAGGGCTTTACCAATGCCCTCTGGGTAGTTGTCGGGCAACGGGGGGCGCCACTGATATTCTGGCCAGCCCAAGACTTCGCCGTTCCGTTGGTTCTGCTCCTGCAGCCACTGGCTGACTGGCTGGAAGTAATTGAGCAGCGGCTGAGCATCCAAGGCCTCTGAGCCCACCAGGCCCTTCAGCACCTCCTGCCAGGGCTTGGAGCAGCCCGCCTGCAGCACTTCCCTGTTAGGCAGAGTGGGTACTGTGGGCACAGGAGGCCCAGGCTGGGTTCCAGAGCAGCCCCACTGCCCACCGCTCCCCGCTGGCTACAACAGCAGTGGCAACAAGACTCCAGGGCCTAAGAGCTCTGAGAGTAGCACGGGACGTATACCTCACCCTACCACAGCAGAAGGCCCACTCTGTTTGACCAGAGAGCTAGGTTCCCACACAGTAGTTCAGCCCCAACCTAAACAGACAGTTGCCTGCACGTCTCCATCCTGCCAGCCTCTGCCAGCCTCCCGCATACCCTCTGCTCCCCACCACATACCGGAGCTTGGCCCCTGCCTGGGTGGACTGGTAGATGTCACACTGGTGCAGTGGTCCCTGGTGGCCTGCCTCCTTGCACAGGGCTTGGTGGAACTGGAACTGTAGCACAAAGCTCACGAAGTACCTGCAGGCATAGGGCAGGCATTAGCGGGAGGCAGGGGCCAGAAAGGAGTCCTCTGCCAAGGCACTGTCCAGCAACCTGGACAGCAGGGGTATCTAGGCCAGAGGGAGAAGCTAGCCCAGTTCAGGAGGGCTGTTCTTTTTTATTTTGTTTTATTGTTATTTTTGAGACAGAGTCTCACTATGTATTCCAGGTTGGCCTCAAACTCACAATATAGCCCAGGCTGGCCTCAAACTCACAGTAATCCTCCTGTCTCAGCCTCCCAAGTGCTGAGATTACAGGCATGCATCACCATACAGGGTGAGAGGGCTATTCTGATTCTGGGCCCGTGGGGGTGCAGAGGAGGAAGGGGACAGTCTGAGGATAGGGCAGCCAGGATCACAAGAGGAGGGGTGGGGGGCATTTGTACCTGATGTATGGTGTCACATTTGGGATATGAAACTTAGCTCCAGCATCGAAGTGGGTTTCGTTTCGGATCACCGGAGGACAGATTCCCTGATACTTGGTTCTAGAAAAGATGGGTATCTTAGGATCCAGGGCTTGCACAGGCTGCCTGAGCTTTCACACAAAAAGTAGCTCCCTCTGGTACCCTACCGCATGCAGAGAAGGAGGGAAGCCTTCCCAGAGGAGAGAGTTTCAGGCAGGAGAAGGGATTGGTGAGGGGAAGGGATGAGGGGACAGAGGCAGGTACCCAGCTGCCCAGGAGTGCTAGGAGGGCTCTGGGGTTAGTCCCTCCCTATCCTTCCTCTCACCGAAGATACCACCAGTCAAAGTTGTAGCGGGAAGGCGGGGTACGCCCACTGAAGACTCCCCAGCGCCACTGGTCTATCAAGTAGCCAAAGGGCAGGAAAGCAACTTTTTCCAGTGCCATCTTTAGCAGGTAATTAATGTCACTTTCTGTGGGATGGTGAGACCAGAAGAGAGAGGTCAGGGGGAGAAGGAAGTCCAACTAGGGCAGAGTAGGCCTGGGGAATGGCCAGTGGGAGACACAAAGAAGGTAAGTCCTGAGACCTGGGGCCCTGCTCACAAGAGGATCTGGGGGGAGTTCTGGGCTCGGGATGGGCTCTGAGGCTCTGGCCTGGGGCCCTGAAGCAGAAAACCAACGGGTGATCTGGGCGAGGGCTAGGGGAGCTGGAGGGGCGTTCAGTGGGGCCAAGCCGGGGCTTCTCAACAGCCTGTACCTGTGTCATTGGTGACGTGGTCCAGGAGGCCAATTTTGTGCAGATGCACAGGAGTGGAGACTGACAGTGCCAACACATCCCCGATGGCCTCATGGAAGCCAGGGTTGGCACCTCTGCGCAGGGACACGGGCAGCTCCTTGTACTGGAGGTAGTACTGCACGTGGCCCATTTCGTGGTGCACCGTGGAGAGCTGGTCCATCGTGACCCGTGTGCACTGCTTGATCCTGGGCATGGAAAGGGAAGGGGTGAATGACAGGGCAGCGCAGCGGCCAGAGGACTGGGGGGCTGAGCTTCCTGATGGACGGGACCAGTGAGGACGCTGCCCTGGAAGAAGCGGCTGGAAACCAGCAAATCCTTGACCCTGCCCTGGCCCACCATCACTCAGGCCCTCCTCCTCCCGCGGCACAAGAGCTGACTGCTTATCAAAGCTGCTGAAGAAGGTGGTCTGACGCGGTCGCATGCCCAACAAGAGACTAGCCCACAGCCAGTGCAAGGGCAGGCAGAGGCAGGCCTGGGCCCCAGCTGCCCCGGTGCGCCCTCCCAGAGCCCCAGCATGCTGCTGCTCCCACATCTACACCTGAAGTCCTTCCTGTTGTAGAAGTCCCAGGCTGAGGCGTGGCACACCACCTCCCTCCCGTCGGACGGCTTCTCCAGCATCGACTCTGCCCAGAACTCAGGAGGCATAGGTGACAGCCCCAGGGAGGTGAAGAACTCTTCTGCCACCCGGAACATGTGTGTAACATTCCAGCCCTGGTGCCGGATGTGGACACAGGTCAGGGGCCGGCTGCTCGGAGGGGTCCCTGGCTGCCTCGGGAGCAGTCTAGGCTTCCCTAGCCCAGGGCAGCTCTCTGCCCATGAAAGGTGTCTCTGCTCAGCGGCCTCCCTTCCTGGAAGCAGGGCCCTACTGACCACAGCAGTGAAGGTGAGCCGTGCTCACTCCCACCACCATGGACACAGACCCCGGCTCGCTGATGGCCCTCCCTGCCCCTCTCCCCACCTCTGACTCCCTCGCATTGTCCCAACCTGGGTTCTGCATTCAGAGCTTACCTTCTCTACCATGGTACCGCTGACGTCCAGGTTGGGCTTATCCGGGAAAGGTACCACCAGGTCGTAGATGTTGTTCCAGCTCTGTGCCCACATGTCGCCTAGAAGGAGTAAGGAGGGGGAAGCCTGGCGCCCCGCCCAGCCACGCTCGCGTCTCCGTGTGTGTCACTCAGTAGCACCCCGGGCGCCAGCATCTGCACCCTGGGGGCTCCAGGGCAGCTGTCCTGGCTCAGGGCCAGGCAGGTCAGGAATCAGCCTCATGCACATTCTGCTGTGGGTTCCGTGCTCCCTGGGTCGGGCCACTGCCAAGACTGGTCCCGGACAATGCTGCTGAGTGCCCGGGTCCCTGCCTCCCACTCCTGAGGTAAGGGGCAGGCGTGTTTCCTTGGACATGAATGAGGGTGAGGTGGCCTCCTCCACTGGACTGGGGACCAAAGCATTCAGTGTGACGCCTAGCTCTGCTCTCTGACCACCCTCGGCCTCAGTGTCCCATTCTGTGAGGCAGAAACGCTGACGTCAGTGCTGGGGTTAAGCCGGTCACACAGGATTCCGGTGTGGAAAGTGAATGCGTGTTGCTCCACACAGGTGAGACACCAGAAGGACGACCCATCTTCCCCCTCCCCTGGGCATCACCTTGAACCCAGGCCTCCCTTGGACTTGCATGGAGGCAAGCCAGTCCTTACCCAGAAGGTGGGCAGGGATGGGCCCCCTGAGGTTGATATACTTGTCCCCATAGCGGCGGTGCAGTGCGCGGCGGACATAGGCATGGAGGTTCAGGTAGAGGGGCTCTAATTGATGGTAGAGGCGCTCCAGGTCCTCCTCAAAGGTGGGTGAGTCGTACCATGAACGCCAGTAGGCCCCCGTGTCCGAGAAGCCTAGCGGGGTGGGGCGGGAGGATGTAGGTCAGGACCAAGGCTCTGGCCCTCTGCCTCCCGCCTTCAACTTCACCGTCCTCCTGGTTTGGGGCCCTGTACCTGCCGGCTAGCTGGAAAGGGGGCTCGGGGTTGCTGCTCCACACTTTTGCCTACAGGCTGCTCTAAGTTCTAGCCACATAGATCCTGGAGCGTGAAGGGGCTAAGTGGGGTGCTAGGCCAGGAGCAGAGCTGGGAGCAGCAGCAGGAGGGCAGGAGAACAGCACAGGAAGGCACAGCACCTGCCAGCGCCGCACCACTTCCGCCAGCCTCGAGACCTCAGGCCAGTTCCGGAATCATCCTATTAGCTGCTGTTTGCCTCAGGTGCTGGAGCTCCGTGGGAGACAGCAGAAAAGAGCACTTTTCAAGCTGGGAAGAGCTACTGTCCCTGGCTAGGGAGAAGGAGGCTCACCATCCTGTCTGTAGGCCTCATTGCTGAGGGTGGTGAAGTCCTGGTACAGGGGTTTTAGGGGGATGCCCACAGCGTCGTGCCAGCCTTCCCAGGCGAACAGCAGCATGGCATAGCTTCTCGAGGTAGCCAGGATGTTGGAAAGCTCTGAGACACAGATGAGCAGGGTCAGTCAGGAGACTTCTGCGTCCGAATCTGCAGCAGTCTTCAGCAGGGTATGCACCCAGGTCTTCATTGTTCCCACCAGGTTCCTCCACATGGCATGTCTCCAAAGCCAAGGGTAACCTATGTGCTTGGTGGGATGGGGTTGGGAGCTATACAAAGCAAGCGTCCAGGCAGGACCTCCCCCCCCCTGCAAAGAAATGATGTTCAAGGTGACTAACACAGAAAGGACATTCAAAAGCCAGAACCCAGAGAGATCCCCCACGGCTCACTGGACAGAGTGCTGAATCCCAAGCAGAAGTCCCACACGGTCCAGACCCTGTGTAGGGCTCTCGGCGAAAGTGAGAAGACCCATGAAAGGAAAAACCAAGCAACCTGGGAGGAAGGTCTAGCGGGGGTGGGAGATACTGGCAGGTGGAGATTCTAGAAGTCCCTTGCCAGAGGAAATAGAGGTGTGGGGGTCATGCACAGTCCAGCCCTACTGGAGGTCGGTGCCCTGGGGTTTCCCGGTAAACACAGAGTCGCCCTGGGTGCAGCCGGGTGGTGGGGAAGGGCAAGGTAACTCCAGCAGAGAATGGACAGGGCCATACCTGGGTCCAGGGACCAGCAGGTGGCAGTCTTGTTGGGGAAGCAGACCTTGCCTGTGGAGTAGATCCTGCTCATGTTGCTTAGCAGAGAGTTGTACTGGGGAGTTGGAGTGGAGGAAATGTTAGTCATGAACAGTCCCTGGAGTTAATCTGGCCGCCCCTCCTCTCTGTGCTGGGAAGAAAAGGTGGCCCGGAGAGGCCATGTGGCCTTGACAAGGTCAGTCTGTGGCACTGAGAGCACTTCTGATCCCGAATACACGGATGTCCCTTCCAGCGGGGGCATTCTGTCTAAGTGAAGCCAGTGTCCTGAGAGCCGGGGACCCCAAAGCCCAGCTCAGCTTTCTCACATCCTCTGGTCTTTGTGCCTTCTCAGAGCTCTCCAGCCTCGCTAGGAAAGCCCCGACACCGAACCGGCCTCGGGAGAAGTCCAGCTTTTTTCCTCTTTTTGTACAGTGCTGGTGATGAAACCCAGGGCCTCACACATGCTAGGCACGTGCTCTACCACCAAGCTACACTCTCAGCCTTTGAACTTGTCTTTCTGCTCCATAATACTAGCTTCAATATAAAGCACCTGCCCTCCCCCTTCCCCATATCTCCAAGGAAAGCCGGCGCTTCCAGTAGCCCAGCTATGTGGCCCCAGAGCCTGGGCCCACACAGATCGCTGGGTCCCTTCCTTCCTGCCAGGCTGCTCCCCAACCACCACCCTACCAGTTCTGCCTCCCCGCTCAGGCCCACCTGCTGCCGCTTGGCCAGGGCCAGGTTGGCAGGTCCCAGGGTGCGCACAGCTCCGATGACCCTGCGCAGTTCTTGGTCAGTGAAGTTCTCCCAGATGGGCTCATACAGTTCCTTAGCCCTCTGGCCCCAGGCCTCGGCAAACTCCTGGCTGAGCAGGGCTGCTTCCTCCTGTGGGCACCAGGAGGAAAGGGAGGGCGAACAGCTCAGGAATTCTGCCTCCGGGGAAGCTATGGGGCTGGAGGGCAGCGGAGGGCCAAGGGCTTCGGGACAAGTGGCTCTGCGGAGATCCCTGTTGTGGAGACCGGAGCTTGAGGCTCAGTGCCCGCTCCCCCAGGCCTCCAATCGAGAAGTGGGGGACTCTGCCTCAGGGCAGCGATGGGGCTGAGAATGAGGCGGGACGAGGGGAAGCAGCGCCCTGGAGCGGGGCAGGCAGCTGCCCGAGGAGGAGGACTGCACAGCGGAGCGGGCGCCCGCCGTGAAAGCTGCCAGCCTGACCCCCGGGCGCTGCCACCGGGGACTCGGCCTCGGGAGAGTGCGCCTCGTCCCCTCGGTGCCCGCGCTGGGCACGGATCACGTGCCCAGCCCGCGCGAGGGACCTCGGCCAGTCTGACGCGCGGGGAGCGGGGGCCGGGGG